TGTAAAACAAATAATTGCACAGATAGGAATACTGCTGAGTCGGAGGCCAAAAATAAAGGGAACAGCCAGCAAGAGGCCCGCAACGTGCAAAAAAAAGGAACGAAGCTAGCAGAGAAAAGGAAAAATGGGGAAAAAAGATAAAAAGTTCAAATGAACGAAATGAGGAAAATCCTACCCCTGGATCATTATAACCTCCGCCACTAGATGCTACCGAAACTGTAGACATTGGACGATCCTAAGTTAGGCTTCATTTGACACAGGTGTACAATATTCCTGTGAAAATTACCTGAAAATAGTACCCACCTGTAAATGATGTGCATAGCTTTGGATTGGAGTCATTGTCCTGGTTGGAGCAGGCATAGCTGGTTGTGAATAAGACGTGTAATTACTATAAGAGCTTGGAGCTGCTGAAGGTGGCATTGGTGGAGCTGGTACCATAGGTGCTATTGGTGCAATCGGAGGTGGCGCCAAAGGCGTTGGGACTGGGTTGAACCCGGGTACGGAAGGTGCTTGGTTATACATTGACTGCATGGACGTTGGTGGATATCCAGAGAGTGGAGGCACTCCGGGAGCAGATGGTGGAGGAGTGGAAGCATAACCAGCATAGGAAGACGCATTAGGATACTGTGGACCCGTAGGCATGGGCGGCATTCCGGGCTGTTGAACCATAGCAGATGGTCTATGCTGTGATGACGAGAAGTAAGGAGCTGTTGACGCGTTTGCTGGTGAGAAGATTGAATTTCTCTGATGTGTGCGCTGAAAGAAGTATTTGAAAAAAAAAGGGGAGAGGGGGAATGAACTCGAACTGGAAAGAGAAAACTGCTCACCGCAGGTGACAAAGCGCTGGCGATTTCTTGGGTTTGCTTAGAACGAGGATACGCTGGTTCTTTGCTCATGGTGCGTTCTTCTCCTCCACATATCAAGAAGAGATCATGGCGAAGAGTCAGCAGACGCTAAAAACAAGAAGAAGCTTTTCAATCAAACTTTTAAAACAGAAGAAACTCGAATTCCGAAGGTCCAATGTATATCAAAAGGCTCATCATAGCAAAGCGATCAAACAATTCTCTTCCTCCGGCATGTTTTCACTCGGGTAACTTTTCTTTCTCTTCTTGCTTTACTTTCAAGGCTCTTAGCGGCTGCGCAATGCGTTCCTTGCTTATTTATTGTAGAGAGTCAGTAATAATAAGCTATTTCCAACACTTGAAAAAAAAGAAAAAAAGACTCTGTATGGCTAAGAACTAGAATTCAAAAATAAGCTTCTGGAAAGTGAATATCAAAGGAAGGTAATACTGCCTTAGGAAAGGCCATGTTATAGCAAAGCGATCAAGGCGAGAGAAGGATATGTAAGGATTGCGGAGGGGCTGTAGCTTAGTTTTTTGTTCCAACATAAATACTACATTTTTCCTAAACTAAGTATATCTCCGCAGGCTGACCCTACTGAAA